GAAGAGGTCAGTTTTCTCCCTAACACGGGATTACAAACATGTTCGGTGTTGGTAGCCAAGGAAGGTGGCGGACTTTATTGAGGCAGTCCGTTAAGCTCTCAGCAATGTGAAGGCAGGCATTACTTTCTTAAAGGTTTGGGTTTTAAAGCGTTTGGGGGCATTGCAAAAAATGGGTTTCAAGTATTTCCTGGATATTCTGCTGCGCTGTCATATCTCTAATTGAAACTAGAAGTGCCATATTTATTGGCGCCCAAAACCATAACAGTATGATTCAGTATGATGATGTTCAACTCATAACTTCACATTACATCTTTCTCTCAATGAGGCGCCATCAGATACAAAGTTACTCCTAATTACAATTGGAGAATACGTGATGGCAGCGCAACGGTTTTTCAAGGAAAAACTAGAACTTCATTTTGTACCATTTCTTCAGACGCTTTAGAATCTATTTGTTGCTTGACACCCTCAAAATAACTGTCTTCTGAAGCTACACAGTGCTGGAGATGGTTCTTCCGCTCCTTGTCAGTGCTGGAACACCGACTGTCCCCTTGAGGTGATTTTTCAACGACTATAAGAAAAAAAGTCCCAAAAATCAACAGTTACCCTTCTATTAATTTCATCCACTTGACACTATCGAAAATGATAATGGCCATCCAAACCAACCTTTTTCCTTGGCCTACTGGATCTCCAGACTCTCGCCAAGTGAAGATGTATAAAATATGAAGGGAAATTGACTATCTCTTAACGTTATCCTCCATTAACAGCTAGCTTGGTTAGAGATATATCAAGAAGACACTCCTCAACAGAAGCATACCGACCACTGGATGGGAGCGTGCGAGATAAAGGTCTCTTTAGTTGCTGCTATTATATGAATAGCAGCGAAAATGTTGAATTTTATTATGGTCTTTGTAGCTTACTTATTTCTATACAAAACATATACATTCAGTTAAAGCGAATGTGTTCATCTAATTTGTGATTTTGTAAATCACACCGAACAGTTCTAAATATACAGGTGTCGGCTAGACTTGAATGAGAAGTATCAGCCTGGCGGATACGCCTGGTAGGGCTAGAATGCAGCAAAATCACCGAGAACTGAGAATTTACAAAATTCATCGACCTGAGGCTGTGAGTGAATACTCTAGGGGCTAGCGGCTATCTAAGTGACTTTAAGCTCCCCTTCACAAACATTGTCGCGCCGCCTATGTTCAAAAGGCTGCCAAAAGAGCTGTTACGTAGCATGAATGCACGTTCTATACACCATTCGTCGTCCATGTATGCCCAGACAAAACATAACATGCCCAAAAGCGAAATTGTACAGGTCCGTACTTTCCTCAATGGTCTTGGAATAATCTAACAAAACAAATGATTATTTTTATAGAAAGATGTGTATATACTTTTCTTTATTCGCTGAAAGTACTTGAGTCATCATCCGAATGATTAATATTAATTATTACTGGTTCAATTTGAGCATCGATCATATTGTACAGATCCCACATCTATGTTTCGATTGTATCTTGAACGTGACGGCCGCAATCTTTCCAATGGTTTGCCGTCACTCGGTTGACAGCTTCATAAAACAAATTTAAAAAAATTTGAATGTGTATGTTCCATTGTTTGAAGCCACATAGTTTTTATATTTGCCCAAATCATTTCAATGGGACTTAATTCGCAGTGATAAGGGGGCAGCCTTAAAACAATTTCATCATTAACATTAAGAATACATTTATATTTGTGCTGCCTGACTAGATGGATAAGTTCTGCTTTGAGAATATTTTCACTGAAACTAATATCTTTTGATAGGAACCATTGTTGAATTTCTGCCTCTCTTGTGGACATTGTGGGAATTTTTTCTAACTTTCTAGTGTGGTATGCAGCATTATCAAGTACAATGACGGCATTGTCGCCAAGATTTGCGAGCGTTTCTACAAACCATCGTTCAAATGAACTCCCGTCCATTTATTCATAGTAGTCGGTAGTCGCCACACGTCATAAAATATCATGAATTTTCATTTCAGAGTGATCTAAAATTTCGCTCTTATAAACGTTAAGCACAATATTGCTTCTTATCACGTTTTCGGGGAGGAGACATCACTGAACAGGAAGCATGGCTGAAGGAAGCATTGGGAGATTCTCTGTTTCATCTGCTGTATCCGTAAACGACACGCTATGTATGCAATGAAGATGAACAGCAACTGCAGGCGTCGGTCGGCGTGTCGGCGATATCCTGAGCCTGAGTTCTATCCTGTCGACTGGCCAATAGCTATTGCAACGCTTAGGCGGCTGCCGCTTTGCCGTGCTGCGTCTTTATTATGGCGGGGCGTAAATGGAGTACGAATAGGGTATACGTAGATCCTACTATGAAATGGTGGGAATATTTCTCGTGAATAGTAGCAATAGCCTGCACAAAAATCATGAAAGCATATGTAATTAGAACAGCACTAATTACGAGATAACCTCTCGCTGCGTCTGTTAGAAGCTATTCTGCTAATATTTTGGTGCCTTGCTTGCTTCCTAATATGCTCATGACCATATGATGTGGCGAACCTTCCTCCGACTGACGAAATTTGCGAAAGGTAATGGACTGCCAATCCTATTAGGAATGGATGTAAATGCTCACCATACCATACTGCTCCGACATTAACAGTCGAGTCCAACAATCTTGAGATTTTCAATAGGGTTCCTATTAGTAGGGTAGGGAATCAAGTTATTGACATTTCAGTCAATTTCCCCTAGTCTGGTACGTATGGTGATCAACTGGAGGGTGACATACGGTATCACACTATCTGATCATAGGATGATTAGATGAAATCCGGAAATAGATGTAAATGCTACTTTGGTAGCTAAACTGGAAGGCCCGGCAGAACAGTTCAAAACCGGAGAAGAGCGGGAGGATTAGGTCTTCAGCCTGGACGATATCGTCAACACAGCCTATGAATCAGTCACCCACCTCTGGGAGAGTCCCTTGGTGCTTCATGTCATTAACGGACTTGCGGAAATCATCAAGAAAAGCGCTAGACAGGGCAGTGCAAACAGGACGGCAGCTCTTGGAAAGCCTTCAAGCGAACTAGGAGAAGCTTTAAAAAAGAACTTCGCAAAGTGAGGGAGGGAGTTGCTGGTAGTCCTTTTTCAACTTGACAGCTTCAAACAATATAAATGAAGAATAATCTCCTCACCCTTTAGAGTGCCCAGATAATACGCAGCCTCTAGTACTGCTCACATGTTTTGGCTGCTACCTATCCGTCTACACTATCCATACTCCATACCTAAAGAAGGGATTGATCGATGACACTTTTTCAACAAACGGTCTCGAGACCATTTCATATCGACCGGCGATCTAGCTTTCTTCTACAGATGTGCCATTGCTCTTTGCTCTTCAGTTCTCTTGCGTGATGCGGCCGCTCATTGAACCTGCCAAATGGATCCGCGAGGTTTTGCCTTCCATCCTAACTCTGTCGATCATCATACTGATCTGGTCTGTATGATCACTCCTTTGTTCCTAGAGTGTCGAGACTGCGGAACCGTAGATAAGGAGGCTTTTCGCAGTTGTGCCAATCTTGGGAAGGTTCCAAAATCAGATCAGCAAATTGCTTTTACGAACGTCACAATAGTTGCGGTGCCTCGGCATTAATGTTTGTTTCTGCTTACGTGCATTAAAGAAGAGAATTGAATTTGAAATATTGTTGCTGAAAACACCAGTTTTGAACGGTTTAAGAATTACACATTTTTACCAGATTACTAGCCTACTGAAGGGTTGATAAATGTACGCGAGGTCCTTCTATGTATTGCTCCGCTTATTTACATATAACTTACTCAGCACAACGTAGGGTTTCTGAAACGTAGTTTAGAATTTGTTTATCGATTAATGTCTCAAATTTGCCATGTTATACAAGGTACGTTTATTTGTTTTATAATAGTTACAAATGCATGAAGAGGGAATTCCGACTCCCTACCGAAAGCTTCTATCAATGTATATTCGGAGGTACAATGTACGGCTTACGGAACTATGTTCATATGGAAACTTCCTATTACAATATTACCCAACATCCTCTATAGCCACTAATCGACGTGAACTATCGATCCAGTTAAAACGAGTAAATAGCGTTAGGGACGGTAACTCCGAAAACTACGTAACTACGCCGTAGGTATGGCGATTTAGGGTGAGGCAAGGAGACACTTAACAATTGAGGCCGGCTAAATTTACCTTTAAGGGGTGTTGCCAACACAAGTAATTGGAAATAGCATCCTTTATAAGCTCTATCAAGTTGCCGACAGCCTGTTTGGTACCATTATCTTAGTTTATTAATCTGAGTATCATGGGAAATGCCTCCTCTTCATAATGGGCTAATCTGAGCAGTATGAACATGCAACTTTCAAAGTAAGGTTATGATTGAAGACCGGATTTATATGTATTTACATGTTTTTACATATAACATAATATTTTAGGGTTTTTTCGGATAAACAAATATAACATAATATTTTAGGTTTTTTCTACATATAATCCATATACAAAGACACACGCTTTAAAAAACATAAAATGGCATTTTTTTATACAGACTAAACACATTTATTATTACACATTGCTATGTAAATCTGACAACGGTGCACAAATTATAAAGACTACAAAGCATATCGGTGATTCCCCCAAAGCATATCGGTGATTCCCCGATTAATAACTTGCCGTGCCGTGCACCTGTCGCAATCTTTATTTAGAAAACTTGAGTAGTAAAAAATTATTTTTCGCTGCCGTTTAATATTTAAAAAGATCGCCATGCCGAAAGTATCAAGCTCTAAAGCTGATTTACTTAAGAAATGGATAAAGAATGCTAAACATTTATCCACTGATGGAACAGGTGTATACTGTAACGCCTGTTCAAAGCAAGTGAGTATATGTATTAATATAATAATTAATTAATCTTTCATTATCTACGGAGCTATTATTGTAAATATTCATTATTTCAAGGTTTCTTTAAAGTTTTTCTTTAAGAGCTCATTTGATTTTGGGTATCCTCAAACCAGAAATTTCAGATCGATCAACACCTTGCTACAGCCATTCACACGGAAATGGAGAAACGATTTAACGTGAAAGTACGACAACTGCATTATGTGGCAGCTCCCAACAAAACCAGGATTCTAAAAATGAATTTTATTTTGATTTATGCAACGCCATGGCACAATCAAACATATCATGGAATAAATTAGAACAACCGGCGTTCCGTAAATTTTTAGAAAAATATTGTAACCGCCATATCCCAAATGAATCCACATTGCGCAGAAACTATTTGAAGAAATGTTACAAGGTACGTTTAGAAAATATTAGGGAAAAGTTATGCAACACAAATATTTATATTCAAGTTGACGAAACAACAGATGCATGTGATCGTTATGTTTCCAATATACTTGTTGGTATTTTAAACGAGTCTACCCCTCCAATGTCTTATTTAATTAATTCTGCAGCCTTAGAAAAAACGAATCACTCGACCGTTGCACGTTTTATTAATGATAGTTTAACCCTACTATATGCACCAAATCCAGTTACATCAGAAAACGTAAAATTGTTGCTTTCTGATGCGGCCGCTTATATGATCAAGGCTGGAAAAGCTTTACTGGTATTTTACCCGGAATTAATACATTTCACCTGTATGGCTCATGCATTGAATAGATTAGCCGAATTAGTACGTGCAGAATATCCTTCTGTTAATAATTTAATTAATAACGGAAAAAGGTCTTTTTAAATGCTCCTTTATGGGTAGACTTTTACAAAGAAATGGCTCCTGGCTTGCCCTTACCACCTGAGCCTGTTATTACAAGATGGAGAACATGGCTCAATGCTGCCTTGTTTTATGCAGATAATTTGGTAAAAATCAAAGAAATTTTTTTTTCGCTTGACGCTGATTCTATAGCACTTAGATCTTGTAAGGAATCGATACTAGAGTCAAACATTTTAGAAGACTTAGCCTTTATTAAAGCTCATTTTTTCATGTCAGCAAAAGCAATAATGGAGCTGGATACTACCCAGTTGCCATTAAACGACTCTTTCAGAATCATAGAAAAGGTGATTGAAGAACTAAGTCTTATTCCTGGAGAAATTGGAAACAAAATTAGGGTTAAATGGGAAAGTGTTTTATCTCGCAATCCTGCATACCAATAAATAAAAAATGTTTGTTACATTTTGAGAGGACAGAACCAAAGTGATCCGCATATTAAAATGAAGCCTTCAGATATAGCTTCCTTGAAATTTGCGCCGATCACATGATGTAATGTGGAGCGTTCATTTTCGGCTTTTAAAAATTTATTAACAGACACACGCCATAATTTAAGCATGGATAGTATTAAACAGTTATTAGTTTTATACTGCAACCCTATCGTTTAACTTTTTGTGTGTGTTAGTTTGGATTAGTACTGTACTGTTCATTACAGAAAAACCTATTTTGTTTTGTTGAGTTTTAGTTTCATATTATGTGATATATTATATTTTTTATTATATTGAACATAATATATTAATATATAAGCGTTTTTTTTTGCGTTCGCAGATTTATGTTTCTGTTTTTCCACATATAAAATCCATATTTCCTCTATTTTTTACAGCATAAAAAACATATTTTGCAGCTTTATACCACATAAAAATCCGGACGTTAGTTATGATCAACCATTTTGTGATGATGATATTTTTGTTAAGAAAATCGAAAGATAATGTCAAAAAAACAAGTTTTCGCCACCCTATAATGATGTCACAACCTACAATTTTTGTAATAATCACAACAACATCAGACGATCAAATGAATAAATATATTATCTTAAAATAAATCTAACTATCCGTCTATCTACCTATTTATCTGTAGACCGTCTACGCATATCTTCAGGATATCCAATATAATCAAATGTTCCTCATCCATCTACTGTTGAAAGTACAGGCTATTCTAAAATAAGATAGCAATCTCTGGGACGCACATGAAACTGCCAGATCGTCACAATTTTCTATAAGAAAATATTCGACGAGGCCTCTCTAATTGCCACTAAAGGATGCTACAATACTGTATAATTCAGCTCAATTTTGATAACACGATTACCAGGTGGGTCTCCACATTGCCACTATCCATGGAAGACAGTTAATTAATTTAGATCATCGCGAACGAACTAGCCTGCATGAAATATAACTAATTTTTATACTTTGTATGGGTTGTCCTCAAAGTTGAGATTTTCCTTCACATGGCATATAAATCATGCAAGAAAATAAGTTTTTTTTATAGTATCATATACACCAAAGTCTTAAGATAAACGAGATATTAGTCTCCGGAAAATCAAGCAAACCTAGACAAAACCTAATCCGGTCCTGCGCACGATGCGCGTCAGTTCCTAGACCAGGTGCCAGCCGAGTAGGAAGAGTTTACAAATTCGTCCCAAAAAACTAAAACGTAAGTGGGACACCCATACAGCAATATAGGAGTTGTCGATATTACTTTAATTTAGTAAGTTTAGCAATCTGCTGCATTTATTCGCGGAAGGCAGTCTGAAGCCTGCACCGATGTCTGCGGAGCGCAGACAACTTTGAACAGTACTTGCAAACAACAGACCCTACAAGTTCATAAAAATAATAAGTGATGACCGCTGGGTGTCGCATTATATTTTTCCTCCTGACGACTTTTTTTAAAAACCACTGTATGTAAAGGAACCCAGTGGAACCGTCGCTTTCCTTATTCTCGAAGGGACGAGGGCATGGAATTATAGCTTTGCTGATACTATTCTCACCATGGCAGACTATTAAACATTTTAGTGTATTATGCAACACTACAGTTTAACCGCATAATTGGGAAGCTTCTGTATCATCCGTTGTGTGTTGAAAATATTTGAACACCTGGATATTACTCATAATAAAGAGGTTACGAACTTTCAGTTGATTTAATAGAAAAGTTCCATTATTGTCCTTTCTCGTACCCCTTAAAGTGAACTGATTACGATTTTTGCTTTCACTTCTTTATATTAGTATTATTTGAAGAGATCTTCAATAAGGTTCCGGCCTTTGCCCAAATTGTAATAAATTATGTTTGTGAACTTTGAAGTACCGCTAGATAAAATATAGAGTGAGTTTTTGCAAGGCTTTGCAAACTATTGAGAAACGTTAGTTATCTAACTTTTCTGAATTTGTCCTTTCAAATACTCTTCAAATGTATTTCTAAAAAGGAACGAATCTCTGATTTTGCCGCCTCGACCGGATAACCTTGTATTGCAACACGTGTACGGACAGGAATGCTAGACTCGATTAGTCCTTGCAATGATCTTCATATGCCCTCGTAGTGACTGATTGACCTCTGATTCGGAGTTATTAACTACAAAAATCTAAATGATATACGGTTGAGCTCAACCACTCGGTTTCTTATGAAAATGTCCTTGATATGACCTTCAAGTAACCTTCAAACGCTCTCATAGGGACAACCTAATCTCAAATTTGAAATCAGTGACCCAAGCAGCCCTGTGGTACTGAAAATCGCACAAATGCCGTAAAAATTGTATTTTCTGCCAGCTTTTCCATATATCGTGGCCAACAATCCTGACGAACCATTCATATATTTGTTTTGCCCCTAGCGGCACACGCATTCGAAATACACAGCTACGCTTCTATTTGCCCATTAAGCTGAAATAGGCTTTGTCGAGTGCTTTCAGTTATCCATGGCGATTCGTAAACAGTTTTTCCAGGTGAGTTTTCACTCACGTATCCAGGACATTGCATTCGCATTTCGTGTGCTTATCAGATCCAGAAGTTGCAATTCACTTAGGGCAACTTTCCAACATGTAACTTAGCTGTCGCTAAAGTTCAGATTTCGCGTTAACCGCCCACAACTATTGATTTAATTAGTTCACTTATGAAATTCGACGTGTCAGGTGCAGTTTTGCCCAATTGTCAGGGAGGCAGGAAGGTTTAAGTTAGTTAAGTTAAATTAAGTTTTGCTTGAGTGCACGTTTTGAACAATACACGTGGCCACCCATACATTTTAGCGAGACAGGACGCAAATTTTGAGTTTATGGACCCCGTAAGATGGCAAGACTGGAGTTAATCCAAGATTCTTCAATTAGTATTTTTATAAAAGTTCCTATGCCACTGGCAAAAAAGTATTGTGACCCCGAAAAATTTCGTAAGTGAGATGTTGTTTTCTTAACGTTAGCATCACAAAAAATCATATCAGGCAGTCAGTCTGTTTATCTGCCTGCCCGCTTATACTTGACCCCGCTACGACTTGGAAAGTACCGGCCGGATTTTGATGACTATTTTTATATCATTACTACTATGCTAAGGACATGAACAACTTTTATACTTTTGAAAATCGATCCATCGTTGGCGGACAAAGAAGGTACAAATCAAAATCCCCCCAACTTCGTTTTTGAACGTTTCAAAGGCTCCTGATCGTTTTCGGAAATTTTTTTGTAGGGTTGGAGGTTGTAGTTGGTGGGGGAGGATATATCTCAATTTTTTGGCGATGCTACACATATCGGGTGTTCATTTGAGAACTTCCCGCCACGGATCTATCGAAAACCACTGTTTGAAAGAAAAACGCCGAGAGACGTCAAAAAAGCTGTAAAGGGGTACAACTTTTTAACCAAAAACTACTTCATCCCCTTTCACCCTCTGCCACCCAGGGTCATCCCCTTAAAAATTTAAAATGACAAGTGGTATCGAGCAATAGCGTGTTTAAAAGGTCTTTCGAAGTTCTCTATTTTGACGTTTGATTTTTTAAAATCGATTTGTTTTCAAGAAAAGTAGAAAAATCTTTATATATCTTAATTTGTTCAGATAGAAAACAAAAACACACGAAAATATCACTTTTTATTTGAATAAGTGTTCAAAATGTAGCCCGTTAGAGTTTGCTAAAATTTACAATTCGTACATAATTGAAAATGGAAACATACGACATAAACAGCAATTCGGAAGATTAGACGTGGCAACAACCAAATAACAAACCGAATATTTTTCCGCATTCTTTTCATCAACACTGTTTGGTTATTTGTTGCTAAGGGAAAGAAAGAATTTAATTTGCTCTAAGTTACCTTTGTGATAATCTTGGGATAATGAAAATTAATTTATTGATTCAGATTTTACATCCAAAATTGTTTACGCACTAGCCGAAAGAGTGGAAGTGATCTTAATCTATGGTGCCCAAAATCAGTGTGCTCGGCAAACTGTCGTCACGTTTAACGCCAGACATTCGGGGAAGATAAATCCGCATAGGTATCTTACTGAATTCACTCAAACTGGATCTGTTGCAAATATATAACGTGATCATCGGAGAGTCTTAGATGAAGCCGCTCAAGTTGAGGCTTTGAGTCATCTTGGAATATATCCTAATACTTCATTACGCAAAATTGTTGCTGCGACTGGTATTTCATTAGGCTCTGTACACCCAGTTACTAAATTGCATAAATTTCATACATTCAAAATGAAAATATTGCAAGAGTTAACCGACGATGATTCCGATAGACGAGTTGAGTTTTGTGAACAAATGACTGCAGGAATTAATGATAGTACCATTCATGTAACGAATAGCTACTTCAGTGATGACTGCATATTTTATTGAAATTTTCAATAAGCATACCTGCAGGTATTGGAGCAATGAAGATCCTCATGCTTTTGTAGAAAGGCATACCCAGTACTCCCAAAAGATTAATGCATGCGCAGGCATTTAGGAAACAAGGTGATTGAACCATTGTTTATTAAAAGAAATTTGAATGGAGACATTTATTTGGATATGTTTGAAAATACCTTTAATCCACTAGTCACTGAAACCTATATAGATAAATGGATAGGGCGAAGAGGGCCTATCGAATGGCCAGCTCGATCTCCTGATTTGACGTCGTTAGACTTTTTCCCATGGGGTCATTTGAAATCTATTGTGTTTACTTCCCAACCTAAAAGTTTGGATGAACCATCGAAAGCTGCCATGATATCCCACAACATGTTTTTGGAAATGCCCGTCAGGAAGTTGAACATAATTGTTTGGCCAATAACGAGCAACATTCTGAACACTCATTGAAATAAAAAATGATAGTTTCGTGCGATTTTTTTTCTATCTGAACAAATTAAGTTAAATATTCATATAATTTTCTTGAAAACGAACCGACCAATTTTAAAAAATCACGTCG